TTGCCACCATGATATCATAAAACTCAAGAAGCTCATAGCATTTTATGTCATTAGGACTTCATAGGCATTTTATCACTGTCTAATAACTGCATTTTGGTTCTCATATGACACCATAAGATGGAATCTGGTTTGGATGCCTGCTTTCTGCTAATCTATCTCATAGGTTGTTGTAAATTTCAAATTACTCATTGGACTATATCCCAATGCAATTTATTGTCAAGTATTTTCCAGTGCTTAAATATGCAAAACCAAACTCTCCTAAGTGACAGAGATCCTTGAATCATAAACTAAACATTATAGGTAATCCAATCAATGGAATCTAGAACAAAAGTATAGTCTGCGGAAGCAATTCCCCTCTTCAAGTAAATAAGCTGGAGCAAATGTGAAGACTTTCAGTTGTGAGTCACAAAATACCAATCAGAAGTTCACTACATCTGTTGTCAGCTTCAACACTACAGCTAAAAGACAACAATATGCTCAAATCAGCTGCTAAATTGTCACTAAACATACTTCTTCAAGGGAAAATTAGACATCTTCTAACAAAAAGGAAACTTTCTACAGAGACAACAAAAAGAGTTAACAATAGCAAATATGAATAATGTACCATCCATAGCTTGGCTTATAGAACCATAGTCCATAAATGTTCTAGTTGCTTTGCTCTGAGCTGTCTGCATCAGTATGATGGTATGCTTATTATTATTAGCCTGTATAAAAAAAAGGGGATAAGCAATTAGTTTATTAGAAACATAAAAGAATTAAACTAAAATCACAGAACACAAGAAAATTGATCAAATCTGTGAGGCAAAGAACATTGGTAATACTATGGAGAAAAAAGAATAATTACCAAATTAAATATAATCACCAAAACAACACGAGTAAATGTGACTTAAGTCTGCACATCGCTATAAGTGTGAAAGCCAGTATAAGTAGCAGATAGTAATATATTATTGTACTCCAATCCTTATGCATGTATATATATATAGATACAGATACACATTCCAGTAGTTGCCTCTCCTGCACTTCTTTAAAATTTCTTCAGTTATAGAGAATCAGTAGAAATCAAGAAGATAAACTAGATTTCGTATAACACCTCTAACTTCACCTTTTATACCTAAAGCATTATACCTTATATAAGGGTTCACTATCAAGTAATTCATCATTCATCTACAGCTAAATTCGACAAGCCCACAGGAAAGAGGGGGGGGGCATATATATGCAAACACGCTTAGTCAGAGCTCCAAAAGTGATTTTAGATAATTAAGCGCGTTCTATACCGAAATAAACCCTAGCTTTATCACGGAAAAAGAGTTAATGAGGGAAGAAACTAGGAGATAAAGAGCAGATACTATATAAAAGATAAATTAAAACGAGCGATAATATTCACAAAAATGGAGCAGATAAATTACCATAGGAAAGACGGAGGTTTCAAGTTTCAATAGCAGAGATGAAGAGACAAGAAGCAGGAGGAGGAGGAGGAGGAGGAGGAGGAGGAGGAGGCGGAGGAGGGCAGAAAATAGAGAGACGAAGTGGGGCTACGGGGTGAGTTGAGGAAAGAAGGACGCGGATAAATGGAAAAGCGGAAAGTAATTGCCGAGTTATCGCCACGTGGCTTCTTAGAGAAATCTGGAGCGTTAGATGTGATGGGCCACAAGGATCTTTTCTTTGCTGGACGATTACTCTTTTTTGCTTGAAATTCTGTTCCAAAAGTAGATTTAATTTTCATCAAGTCAAAAAGATTTCTATGGAAGCTATATTCCTTTTACCAGAAAGTAGTGGGAATATATATTCTTTAATCTAACAATGAATTGCAAATATATTGTCATTATTGGTAGAATCAAGATTAAGGTAAAATTTGGAACAAATTCAATTTTCTTTTATAAAATTTTGATATTTTATCCTTCATTTTAACTAAAAGATGATAATAACAGTTAAAAATCTACTTTTGTGATCTTGAATATTTCTCTATTTAGTTGAGATATGATAGTTTTATTTATCTAAGCAATAAATCAATCATGACTTTACAAGTGTACAATAAATATTTCCAAACAAGAGTAGTACTAGAAACAAAAAAAAAATTATTATAATAATTTGCATGATTGTGAGCTAGTAATATGGCTAGCAAATATGTTTTGTCCTTACTGATATTATTGCTTATAATTCTAATATTTCTTTGAATATTTCTTAATGCATGATAATTTTTTAACATCCTCTTTAAACTTGACAGTGGGAGAGAGTTTTTGAACACTCCAAGTTTGTTTCTTAGATTGTAGAATTGAGAGCCTGTTGTAACTTTGGTCAAGTCATTTGCTATTTGGTCTTGAGAAGGTATATATCTAACTACAAGCTTTTCTCAAGTACCTTGTCTATAATAAATCGAATATTGACTTCCATGTGTTTTGTTCTGGCATATAATAATGGATTGCTAATAAGCTGATTTGCACTTAAATTGTCACATTAAGTTACAGGTACTTCTTCAACTGGAAATGACAGTACTTTGAGCAATGATCCCATCCACGCAATTTCACAAGATATTTGAGTCAAGGCCCTATACTCGAATTCTATGTTTGATCTTTCACCCATTTGCAACTTTTTAGAGCTCTAGGAAAGTGCGACTTAAGTAGATGCAATACCTTGTTGTGGATCTTCTATCATCCTTATTGTATGCCCAGTCAACATCAGAGAACTCTATGATGGTGTATTTGCTGCAGGGTTGAATGTGAGGGCCAAAAGTTTTGGTTCCCTTCATGTACCTTAATGCCCTCTTCACTGCTTGCATATGTTTCTCTATTGGATTTTGAAGAAACTGACTTAATTTGTTGATTATGTATACAAGATCAGGTCTAGTATGTATCACATATTGTAGGGATCCAATGATTCTTCTATAGATTGTAGGATTCTTCAGTTGTTCTCCATTATTTTTTGTCTGAACAACATTTAGTGTGACAGGTGTAGAGCATTCCTTTGAGTTTTCCATAACTATTTTCTTAAATAATTCTTCAATATATCTTATTTGTGTTAAGAAAATCCCTGTGTTATCTCTCATAACTTCAACGCTAAAAAATATATGCAAGGATCCCAAGTCTTTCAAAGTAAACAACTTGTCAAGTTTTTGCACAAAACGCTTAAGTAAAGTTGGATTATTTCCAGTCACAATCATCTCATCAATGTAAATTAACATGAACATGATTTGGCGTTTCTTTCATAGTGACGAGTCCAACTTGACCCCTGAAGCCCCAT